GTCACAGGTTCCTTTTGTTCTTTTGGCTAAACTAAAGCTCCAGTTTGTCCTGATTGGGTTTACTGCAGAGGTTGAATGGGCAAAAATAAAGCAGGATGTAGTGATGTGAAGGGAAGAAAAAAAAAAACCCCACTGTCTCATCTGGCAAAGGGAAATCTAAACAAGCTTCCTCTGCCTGTGACTGTCATAGAACTTAATGTTAACTACTCACTAGTATTAACATATCAAAGTGATTCTTCAACCCTCTGGAAACTGCTGAAAGCCATCCCTTAAGTGCCACCTCCATGGTGTAACTATTATGTTAATCCCCTATATCTGTTTACTTTTTTGGAAAACATAAATAAATAAAATTTTCCTCCTTATAAATGCATTTCCCTTTTGCTTCTAGGTGTGGTTTTATTCTGTGTGAAGACAATACAACCATTCTGTGCAGAATGTCTAACGTCTGCAATACAGATACCAGGATCCTGTCTAAAAGACGTTGCCGAGGAGGATTCAAACATTCCTTTCAATAACTATTTACATGGGCCGTAGGAATAAAGTTCACCGCCTGCAACAATACTTTTATTTGTTTTGAACACACAAACCCTTCACTGCCAAGAAGTAATGCTATGCATAGCGCAACAGTGAAGTTATTAACAAGTGTTTACACTAGTGCTAATTTTTGTATCAAGAACTTTTTGTATTTATACTCACTATTTATTATGGTATATTAGTTTTACATATTCTGTGTAAAAGAACATAAAAGGGGAGGGGGGCTAACAGCTTACCATTTCAGTTTGTAAAAAAATTCACTTGTATGGCTGACAAAAGTAAACATTGTTTAATAAAAAATCTTTTGCGCTCTGTTTGTAGGCGGGGTTCACTCTCGGGGTGTTGCGTGTGTGTTCCCTTTGGCTTGGCTGGGTAACCCCGTGCATGCAACTCGAAACCAGACACCCCACGGTCAGGGGCCACGGCCTTGGCCTCGTGCAAACACTCCCACACGTGTAGTACTGCGTACATAGGGCCTCATGGCTTCAACCGCCTCTGCGGTCTTCGGCACTTCTTCCCCCTTAGGGAGAAAGGCCACCATGAATGGCACCCTGTGTCAGGCATAGCCCCACTGCGCACCTACCCTCCTCAGATGGTTACAGCCACGATACAGTCCAACATCACACTCCGGTAGAACCCCACCTTCTCAAAGGTTGGAGGGAGAAGAACCAGTCCACACAGATTGTCTTTTTGTTGGTTTTACTTGAAAGAATGAACTTGGTATAAAGCATACATTTCAGCCACCCCCGAATGGGGTGACGGCACATCACTTGTTACTTGCATGGTGATACAATTTAGAGAGAGAGAGGTACATCAGCCCAGGTGCAGCCCAGAGTCACGACTTACTTCGGCCATAGGCACACTGGCAAGTATCGTCAGTCTTCTAGCACTTTACTATTCTCCGGAATCCCATCCATTGTCAGTCCTAGCACGGTGGGTTTCCCTCTGTGGGGAAACTAGGGAATCTTTGTAGCTCTACATAGTCCTAGGCCTGGTCCTGTCCTTCCCATGGACCAGCCTATATTCAAGAAACAGTCTCTCTCCAGAGACTCTGCAGACAGTCTTAGACTTCTTCTGTACTCCTCTGAAC